AGAATCACAGAGCAGTTCCATCACTCTCCTCTGCTGCCATCAACACTCCTGACACCCTGCAAGCTGCAACCCTGGCTTGGGTTTGTTGTGTTTGCACGTGTGGGTGGACAATGGAGGAGCCAGGGATGATGAAACCCCGCTGATTGCTCCACCAGCAGCAGCGGTGCAGATGCCAGCGCTGGTCTTGTGGGGCAAGGCTGAGCTCTGTGAGCTCTTGAGCAATGTTCTCCCTGATTTTCAGCTGCCGTGTGCCAATCCTTGGGGCTGCTGGAGCCACCTCTGCTTTGTGACAGAATGCATCCCCCCAGTGGCAGCCGCGGGGCACGGCCGGGCAGGGCTGGGACATTTCCCCTGGGTTTCAAAGCAGTTCTGGCTTCCTGCTAATTGCTAAATCCAAAGAGCAATCCCCTCACCAGTACAATCCTTTGGGCTGTAACAATGTGGCTGTCATCGAATTCATACTGAGAACGGGCATCTGAAAAAAAAAATAAAACCAACCAAGATAGAGCAATTGGATTTTAAAGGTGGAATCCTGCTTGTATTTTGTCAGTGGGAATTCAGGCAGCACTCCAGAGAAAGAGGTTTGGAAATGTGGCACTCGGGGATATGGTTTAGGGGTGGTTGTAGTGTTGCAGGTGTTTTGCGGAGAAAAGAAGAAACTTCACAACTTGTAGATCTTTACTCTGTCTCACAGGGTCACCTGTTGGGTGAACTTGAAGGTGTTTTCCAACCTTGATGATTCTGTGATTTGTGTTTTTTAGAATCTGAGGGTTTCTAGTGTGGCTATAACAAACCCCAGGTTGATGTGAGTCTGTGTGTGACACCAGCAGTGCTAGTGCTGCCCCAAGTGTGCTCCTGCAGCATTGCCAGCTCAGTCCTGTGCCTGCCCTGACCTGCCCAGCAGCTCTGTGTCACAGACATCTTTTATGGAAAATCGTTTCTTTAGGATTTTTCCTCCTGAGAAGCTGAAATGCCTCAGGAACAAAATGTAAACAATGGTTATCTGCTGCTGTGGAATGCAACAGGTGCATCTGTGATTGGTCTCATGTGATTGTTTCTAATTAGTGGCCAGTCACAGTCAACTGGCTCAGACAGAGAGCCCAAGCCACAAACCTTTGTTATCATTGTTTGCTATTCTATTCTTAGCTAGCCTTCTGATGAAATCCTTTCTTCTATTCTTTTAGCATAGTTTTAATGTAATATATATCATAAAATAATAAATCAAGCCTTCTGAAGCATGGAGTCAGATCCTCATCTCTTCCCTCATCCAAGAACCCCTGTGAACACTGTCACAGCTCTGCCTGTGCTGCTCCAGAGCTGGAGAGAGGGGCACTGCAAAGACCCCAGCCCCACTCCCAAACTGGATAACTCCCTCACCAAAATATTTAGTGACATTGCAATGTCAGGCACCCCTCTGGGGGTATTGGCACTGTGCAGAATGGATGTGGTTATCAGGAATCTTTGTGTAATGGCTGAGAAACCCAATGCAGTTCTAAAACCTCTGGGAGCAGCAGGGGAGAGTGTGTGTGCATGGAACTGATGAGAGCAGGGAGAGCTGAGCACGAGGAAAGCCAAACAGCACCAGCTGCTTTCACAGCACCTGAAACGGGATGGGAGGGAAGTGCCAGGCCCCAAACATGGTGAGAAGTGATGTGTGTGATTTTCCTTACAAACCCTGATGGCTCAGGGTATCTGCCTGGGCTGAGCACAGTGCCTGGCTGCTGGCAGGGACAGGGACAGGGGCAGGAACTGGGGCAGGCAGGGACAGGGACAGGCAGAGACAGGGACAGGCAGAGACAGGGACAGAAGAAGCAGGCGGGGAAGGAGCAGACAGGGCAGAGACAGGTAGGGACAGGGAGGGGCATGCACAGGTGGGAGGAGGGACTGGGACAGGCAGAGGAAGGGGCAGCAGCAGCAGCAGGGACAGGCAGGGGAAGCAGCAAGCAGAGGGAGGGACAAGGCAAGGCAGGGACAGGGACAAGACAAGGACAGGGATAGGGATAGGGAGGTACAGGCCTGTGCCGCGGCCTCACCCAGCAGGCACAGGTAGTTGGGCTCGGCCAGCCGCGATCTCCACCGG